TACTTGATACTGTAAATACCAAGTTTTCGTTGTACATATAGCTCTTCAAGAACTATTAGCAAACAAATAAATTTGGCTTTGTACAAAAAAAAATTGCTGCTCTATACCATCATAGTGCGCTAAAAATATATTTCTCAGCTTTAAAAATATTATTTATATTATTTTTTTAAAAATGAATTGGAGTTGAAATTATTTATCGGTTTTTTTGGAGCAAAAAAAAATTTACTTTTATTTTAGTGGTGAAAGTTAATCATCTTTTTTCTATAATAAAAGGTATTTTTCATCATAAAATTAATATAATCGTCGAGCATCCATAATATCAGTTTTTTTTTAATAATAGAAAAAGAAGTAAAGAAACTTATTGAGTATTACGGTGTTGGGTTTGTTTCTTTCAATTCGCAATTATTCTGCTTAGATATTTACATTCTTTGACTCGATTATAGACTTCTTATAGCTAAGATACGACAATTATTCTTCCTTCATAATAACTGATCTGTGTGCCTTCCCTGACCTGCATCATCTTTTTATATTGAACTATTTTTTCAAAGGTTCGGGAAGCACGTAGCAATTAATTACAACTATGTGTCCTATGCCGTTTTTAAGTATTATTAAAGAATTTCTTACCGACCCAAATTGTTGCCTTTACCCTATACCACAGTATAACTGAGTATCTGAGAGGGCTAAGTTTATTTTTCTTTGTTACAGATTGAGTAATGTTTCATAAAGATTTCACTATTCTTCCTATATTCTGTTTTGAAAACATTTTTGTATTGTCAGCAAAATCCGCAAGAAGCCTCATTGCAATATCGACCAACGACGAGAATCAAAAGATAAAGCCTCCTTACAAGAACCAAAAACCCGATCTTTAAACGAAGATGATACTAGAAAGTTTCATATCGGCCAAAAATTCAAGAAGACCTTTTCCATACTAGGAATTCACCATGTACTCTGTAGTGTTGTGGTTGAGTGTACATTAGAACAACAAAACGTAGTGTATATACTCGTTTAACTGAAAATAAAAGGACTTGTCTTAATAACTGAAATAAATGAAAGAAACATAGTTTGGAGAGGCTATCGAAATTCAAACATACCAATTAACTGCAATATTTGAAAGCTGGCATCTATATGACAGTATATGACTCTCAAAACTATTATATATTCAACCTATCCCTGACGCACCGAAAACTCCAATAACAATTCCGTTTACCACACGACTACAAACAGCGGAGATACTCGAGAAAGATTATTAGTGAGCAGCAGGAGCAGCGTAGAAGGTTTACGTCCTCTCCAGTATTAGCTTTGATACCATGTGCCTTAATTGCAGACCAAAATCATCATCATCATTGGCTTTTACAACTCTTCTTGAGTTTTTGTCGCGTTTACTATTGCCTTCCATTGATTCCGATCCTGTGCTATTATTTCCCATGGCCTTACTTCCATCTTCTCCAGGTCTTCCCTGACTGCGTCTTTCCACCTTTTTCTAGGCCTTCCTGTCGATCTTTTACCATCTGGTCTTTCCCAAAACACATTGCTAATCAGTCTGTCGTCATCACTCCGTACCACGTGGCCTGCCCATCTTAATCTATTGGCTTTTATGTATCTTACGATGTTTCCTTTCCCGAAGAGAGTCTCTATTTCATTGTTGTATCTGCTCCTCCATTCATTTGTCACGCTGTCCCTGCAATGACCATATATAATTCGCAGGATTTTGCGTTCCCATACTAATAGCTTATTGATTTCTTTCTTTCTCAATGTCCATGTTTCACTTCCATATGTCACTGCTGGTCATAATTATGGTTTTGTACATTTGGATTTTGGCAGGCTTGAGAGAAGCTTTGACCTCATTAGATGTTGAATGGCAAAGAATGATTTATTCCCCGCCAGTATTCGTATTTCAACTCTCCGTTCTCCTGTGTTTTACTGGTAATTGTTGCTCCTAGGTATTTGAATTCTTTGACCACCTCAAAATTATGATCGTTTATGGTAATGTTTTGTCTTATTCGCTGTCGTTCCTTTTTTGATACGACCATGTATTTAGTTTTTTCTTCGTTTATTTTCAGGCCTACGCTTAGTGTTGCTTCTTCAAAGTTCGATACTATATCCTTAACTTCCAGTGTTGTCTGTGCTACTGCATCTACATCATCTGCAATGCGAGAATAATCTTTGCTCCTCTGGCAGTTATGTCTGGTTTGACTCTGGTATAGATTTTTCGCATTGCGTATTCCAATGCTAGGTTAATAGTAATGGGGACAGCGGGTCTCCCTGTCTGAGCCCGATGCTTATGCCGAAAGCCTTTGAAGTTTTGCCTCCTATTCTAATTTGTGCAAAGGAATTGTTGACACACATTCGAGCAATCATGGTCAGCTTCTTTTGGTACGCCTCCATCATTGCACTCCACAGTTTTAAGCGATCTATGGAATCATATGCTTGTTTGAAATCTATGAAGATCTGGTGTACTTCTTTATTATATTCCCAATACTTTTCTGCACACCAAAAGCCAGGAGAAAACAGTTTGAGAATACGGTCTATAAATCCCAAATATACTCTTTGATAAAAGAGGCAAAGACTAAGGAAAAAGGAAAGAGAATGAGAAACACATTCTGAATATAACTCTGATCACAAATAACTGTAGAAATAATACTTATCCTTAAAAGATAAGATAAAATCTCTTCCTCAGCAGTTAAAGTATAAAAAAAATGAACCCTGGGAATATAGCTAAAAAACAATTTAGAAGATCAGTATTGGTAGCTGATAAAGCTAGAGCTTTTATGTTTTGGCAATACAAGGGATGATTTTAATATGTAGGAGTCCCTAAAAGAAATAAAAATGTTATCTCACCAAAGCTATTCACACTTGGACTGGAAGACGTGTTCAAAGACATTAACTGAGCAGATAAAGGAATAAATGATAATGGAAGAAAACTGAGTCATTTGAGATACGCTGATGACATCGTAGTATTTCCTACAAGGTTATTATTTCCTACAAAAGTAGGACTTACCATGAACTTAAGACAATGGAAAAAACAAAAAATTAGAGAAATTACGTTGAATGCCATAAATTTAAACACAGTAAAAGAATACTGATTTTAAAACTGAGTTGGATCTTGAAAAGCACTAAAATAGAATAATATTTGTAAACCAGAATTTACGATCAGTTTATCCTCTCTATCCCCTCAACACTAAGGGCTAGAATTTCAAATTCCAACAAAGAAAAAAAATAGATACAAAGAAATGGAATGTACCGAAGCTGAGAGATGCAACTGCTGCAAAACAGTACTGGGAAAATATTTCCAATAGGTTAAGAAATCAAAGTCCAAGCGAAGAAGACCAGAGAGATATAGACTCCTACTAAAACATGATAAAGAACGATATTGAGTAAGCAGCACAAGATGAAATAGGAACAGAAACTTGTAACCCGAAAAAATTACTGGTTTGACGATGAATGCAAAGACGCAACACAGAAAAAAAATGAAGCTTATGCAAAAATGCTTACCCGCCGGACTAGAACAAGTGTAGAGAATTACCAGACAAAGAGAAGAGAAGAAAAGAAAATAGAAAAGGAACTTCAATATATAGAAAACCTCAACAGAGAGAAAGAATTCAGAACATTCTATAAGAAAGTTGATATCAACAGAAAAGATTTCAAGGCAAACACAAATCAATGTAGAAGTTTGAATGTCGATCTATTAACAACAAGAACAGACGTACTAAATCGATGGACGGACTATTTTAACCAGATACTTAATATAGAGGAAGAAGAAGAAAACCCGGAAGACGAAAGCTGTGAGGTAAGCGGAGCAGACGAGAGGGAGGAGAATCCACCAACGATCCTGGAAGTTAAAGACGCTGTCAATAAACTAGCCAGAAAAAAATCACCGGAATAGATAATCTTCCAGCGGAATTATATAAAAAAGGTGGCCACGATATCATAATAGCGCTACAGTAGCTTATAAAAGAAATATGTATATAGAAGTCCCTCCCCAGTGATTGGAATATTGGAATACTTTGCACCATACACAAAAAGGGAGACATCTTTGAATGCTCTAACTATCGAGGAATTACGCTCCTAAATTCAGCGTATAAAATATTCTCCAATATACTATGCCATCGTATGGCACCGTATGCAGAGCAAATAATAGGACAATACCAGGCTGGTTTCAGAGGTGGTAAATCAACAATTGCGCAATTTAGAGCAATGATAGACCTGGGAGTACCAAATCAGTCTAACCAAACTAACCCTCGAAAAAGTTGAATGCAGAGTACGAATCCAGGGGAACTCTCTGAACCTTTTAAAACAAATAAAGGGCAAGGGCAATGGAGACCATGGTTAGGAAAGAGAAGCAGAGGAAGACCACAAATGAGATGGGCTGATGACATTAAGAAGATTTGAGGACACAACTGGAAGCGAATGGCGCATAATAGAAAACACTGGATTAATTTGGGGAAGGCCTATGTCCAAAGTTGGATTACTTAAGGCTGAAGAGAAAGAGAGATATAATGATATGAGTAGTTTTATATTCCCTTTCATAAACTCTTAAATATCTTCCGTATTCTTTATTGCACTAACTATTCACCATCTCCCTATGATTGCTAATTTTCCTACATGATTATAAATACTTTATAATGAATTAACAAAATTTGTTCCATATGTTCTCCGTCAAAGCGTTTTATTATGTTTTATACAGAATAATTCTGGTATTGATTTGATCACTATGTACATTAGTACTGTTAATAAGCCTTTGAATAATTTTACATACTTAAAATAAAACTGAATCTACCCTGGTTATTTTATTCTTGAACAATACCTTTTATGAAACTTACCACTCATTTTTCTTCATCGTTTAATTTAGTACTTTTTCGTTTACTATAATTTAACATTGATTGGTTTGGGTTTGGGTTTTGATTAATATCGATTTAATTCTTTGTTCACTTCGATTCATTTTGTTTATAATTGGTGACTAACTTTTCATTTTGTTTCATTTTTTTACATTTTTTGTACAGAAAAACACATTTCCGCACAAGAAGATACATCTGCACCCCAACAACAAGAAATTAGTCAGAAAGAAGCACCAGTAGGAGGTATTTTTAATTTTATTTTTATTTATTTTCGAAAAAAATTTTATACTTTTTTTTGTAGTGTAAAAGTTTTTATTTATTTCATTAGTCCAATCAAGAGGTTAGGGTAAACTGGTCCATAGTGGGACGTTTTTTTTTCAAAAGTGTATAGCGCCTTGATTAAGCGTTTGTAAATTATAGTAAGGGTACCTATGCATTGGTATGGATGCAAAAAAGCAAACTAATAATAATTTCAACTAATCCTTTATTTATAATAAACGTTATTCAACAAGTCCCACTATGAAGCACTATATGGTCCCTTGCATCATGTATGGGAATCATAGTGGTCCATATGGGATTTTTAATAAAAAACACTTTTACTCTATTTTAAATTGGAAAAAATTCACAGGCAACAAACACTGGCGAGCAGCCTTAATCCTCTACTGGCAGGAGTGGGTAGCTTTAGTAAAAATATCTTCTGCTCCTACGGTATCTACATTGGTTTGTCGGGAAACAAATTTGCCGGCCACAATTCTCTTCATGAATGAGATATTATATTCATCTTTATTTTCTGATGTGAAGCTTTCTAAATCGCTGGATTCTTTGCAAATCTCTTCACTAACATCACTGTTCGAACTAATATCGTCATTAAAAACTTGACGTTTAACTTTTTTAGACTTCTGCTTTCTTTCTTTCTGAAAGTGTTTTTTTAGCCAATCTTTCTTTATGCTGTTCCTCTATGGCCTTTTTATGGGGGTATCTGTTATCATTGCGGACTTTAGCTTCTTTATGCTTCCCCTAAGGTTCCCCTAGGAGCATCTTTGGCATGTGGCCTAATTTTCAGACGGGTTATTATATTGGATGTGCCAATAACTGGGCTGACATGTCGTGGTTTTTTTACATCCTAAACATCTTCCACATCCTGAACACCTTCGTTAGTCTTATATTCGTTACGATTTCCATTTTCATTTTCTTCCCGCCTATAAGTGACATAAGATGACATAAAATCGCTTTCTGAAAAAAATTGGAAATTCAGGGGAGCTATGCCTGTTTTTTTAAATCCGTTGAGAATGTTGACAGGAGTGAATGCTTTAGGTTAGGTGGTACCAACAACATTACAAACATCATAAATGGTCATAGGTATGGCATAAGTTTAGCATCAGTCATCAACTCCTTGGTTATAATAGCTTTTAAATGGAAAGAAGCAGCTCACGTCGAGGGTTGTAATTTATAACTGCAATGGGACGGCAATGTCATAAAATAATCCCATTATCTTTACGCAGATTCAGCACACGAACATCGTAACGACTTTCATGGTTGTCAAGAATTAATAGAACTGGGAATTCTTTACTGCCTCGCATGTGTTTAATAAAGTACTTCAAAAAATTGTCTCCCGTCATCCAACCAGAGGGAAACCCTGCACCGGCTGATCCTAGAGGAGCCCCAGTAAGCATGACAGGCTTAAATATTTTCCTTGAAATACAAAGAATGAGGCACAAAAGTCCCATTAGCGCATATTTAGTGCACGTTATTAATGTGCCTCTTTCAGCGCTTGTCACTTTTCCAATTTGTTTTTGTTTGATGCTAGCAAGTACCTTCCCGGGTTTATGCACTGAATATTATGTTTTGGAATCACATTTCTCAAGTTTGTGAAAATGTAGCCACATTATGCTTGTCGAAGCTGGTGGCCCTGCCAACGCTTGTTGCCTCTGGTTTTCGAAGTGATAACATAGGGTGTCGTTTCCTAAAATTGTTCAACCATTCGACTCCAGCTCATTTCTTCTCGTACCAAGTTCGAGGCACCATTTTATTATTAGAAGCATATTTATAAGCCAATTCACTAGTATGTATTAATGTTAAGCCGTAGAATATTTCACAAGCCTGAATTATGTACTCGCACAATAGCTGCTCCTCTCTACTTGTAAATATTGTTTTGAAACCATGGTGACCAATTGGATAGCAGAGGCGCAGAACAGAAGCAGATGGAAAAATCTAGAGGAGGCCTATGTTCAACAATGGACAACTCAGTGCTGATTGATGATGATGATGATGATGATGATGTGTTTAATAAAGTGCTCTATATACTTCAAAAAATTGTCTCCCGGCATCCAACCAGAGGGAAACGCTGCACCGGCTGATCCTAGAGGAGCCCCATTAAGCATGAAAGGCTTAAATATTTTCCTTGGGAATACAAAGAATGGAGGCACAAAAGTCCCATTAGCGCGTATTTTAGTACACGTTGTTATTAATGTGCCTCTTTCAGCGCTTGTCACTTTTCCAATTTGTTGTTGTTTAATGCTAGCAAGTACCTTCCCGGGTTTATGCACTGAATATTATGTTTGGAATCACACTTCTCAAGTTTGTGAAAAATGTAGCCACATTATGCTTGTCGAAGCTGGTGGCCCTGCCAACGCTTGTTGTTTCTGGTTTTCGAAGCGATAACATAGGGTGTCGTTTCCCTAAAACTGTTCAACCATTCGACTCCAGCTCATTTCTTCTCGTACCAAGTTCGAGGCACCATTTTATTATTAGTAGCATATTTATAAGCCAATTCACGAGTATGTATTAATGTTAAGCCGTAGCATATTTCACAAGCCTGAATTATGTACTCGCATAATAGCTGCTCCTCTCTACTTGTAAATATTGTTTTGAAACCATGGGTTCGTCCATATTTAAAATCATTTGTGTTGTCTTCATTAGCTTCATTAGATAATTTGAACTTCTTCACTTTGCGTTGTAGAGCCGACTTGCTTTACACCATGCTTTTTGGACGCACTGATCAATGCCATTTGATTTTTTACATCTTCTACTGCAGAATGCACAGACCTTGCATACACTTCATGATTCTCTATTTCTCTCTTTGTCTGATTTCGTTCTCTGCAAAGAACGAAAATGTTTAGCATGTTTTAGTATATTTCAGCATAGACCGCAATATATTATCATGTCCCAGTATGGCCCGCTTTTTTATTCCCACTATGAACCATGGTGCATTAAAACACAAATGACCAAAAATTTTATCAAAGTGATAGAGCTAAGTTTAAACAGAATAAGATTATATTGAGGTTATGTCTGTTTTAGATATCCATATTAAATTCAAGTTAAAAAGGATACATTTCGGCGTATTATTTGAAAAAATCTGAACATGGAAATAAAAATTTTCAGCTGATCACTCACCTAAATTTCCAAAATATCGAAACGTACAGTACTAATTGAAAAACTAACACGAGATTCGGATAAAACACTTTTATGATAGCACACACACTGAAATATAGCTCTTACCGCGACGATAAAATAGCCAGGAGAGTGAAATTCCCACTATGGACCGCATCCCACTATGGACCAGTTTATCCTACATGTAATTTGTGGGGAACGATAAGTTCATTGGTTGATTTTGTACAATGATTTTAGATATATTTAGAACAGATAGTATTATTTCAAAGAGAGGCTTTTAAAGATTATATATTGATATATTATTGATATTATTATATTGATGGATTCAGTCTATAAGAGGAGAACTTTTTTACAAGAAATGAAGATAAACGGATAAATCGTGTAGTTTCTAGATCAAGCTAATTCTTCTTCTTCCTATGCCGTCCCCATTAACGGAGGTTGGCGACCACATTTTTAAAAGCTTCTCTGTCTTTTGCAACGTGGAATAATTCGTCTACAGTCATGTTTGTCCAGTCTCGAATATTTCGCAGCCATGACTTCCTCTTTCTACCTATTCCCTTTTTGCCATCGACTCTACCCTGCATGATGACCTGCAGAAGACTATATTTATTATTTCTTAGTATGTGTCCAAGGTATGCAGTCTTGCGTACTTTTATTGTTCTCAACAATTTTTTGAGTCGACCCATTCTTCTCGGGACCCTGGCAGTCCATGGAATTCTCAACATTCTCCGGTATATCCAAAGTTCAAAGGCTTCAATCTTTTTAACTATTTGCGCTTTTAGTGTCCATGTTTCTACCCCGTACAATAATTGCGACCAGACGTAACATTCAACAAACCTCAGTCTCAGCGCAATATTCAGATTTTTGTCACAGAACAATTGTTTGAATTTTAAGAACGCTGCCCTTGCCATTTCTATTCGTACCCGGATCTCTTGGTCTGGATCTAATTCTGTGTTGATGTAAGCTCCCAGATATTTATATTTTGTCACTCTCTCTATTTGCTGTCCACCAAGAGTTAGTTGTTCATTATTTATTGGACTCCTTGATACTATCATAAATTTGGTCTTATCTGTGTTGATGTCAAGTCCCATTTGAATGCATTCACTATTTATTGCATCTAGTAAAGTTTGTAGATCTTCTATACTCTCAGCCATAATTACCGTGTCATCTGCAAATCTCATGGTGTTTATGATTTCTCCACCAATTCTTATTCCCTCTTTTCTTTCCCATAAGGCTTTTCTGAATATGACCTGTGAGTACACGTTGAAAAGCGTCGGAGACAAGACGCATCCTTGCCTAACCCCTCTCGCAATCGGTATATTATTTGTTTCTATATCGTTCACCTTTACTACTGCTTTCTGGTTCCAGTATATAGCCTTAATAAACTCAATGTCTTTTTTGTCTAAATTGATGTTTTTTAATTCATCTATTAACTTCATATGCTGCACTCGGTCAAAGGCCTTCTAAAGTCTATGAAGCATACATATGCACTCTTGTTATATTCCGACATTTCTGCAAGAGTACCGTCAACGCAAATAATGCCTCTTTTGTACCCATGCCTCCTCTGAAGCCAAACTGAGTTTCATCTATCTGTTCCTCACATTTCTTATAAATTCGGTTTTGAACAATTTTCAAAAGAATCTTTAAAGGGTGGCACATTAGGCTTATCAATCTATAGTCATTACATGATTTGGGATTGTTGTTTTTTGGTAGAGGTAAAAATATCGATTTAAACCATTCTTCCGGGATGTTGCCCTCTACATATATGTGGTTGAGAATTCGGGTGAGTCTCTTTATATTACCGTCATCTAAGGCTTTTAACAGTTCAACTGGAATTTGATCAGGACCCGGTG